TTTTTGTTATTATCAGTTCTAAATATTTTCTTTTTTAAATTAAGTTTTTAACTCATAGTTAACTCTTACAGTGTGTTTTAAATTTTTCTGATGCATTTGAAAAGTTATTTCAAGCTTTTATTTCTAACTTATTATATGTTTCATGAATGTGGATTGAACAATAGTGATTTTTAAAATTTAAGACTTGCTTTATGGACCGGGGCGCAGTGGCTCATGCCTATAATCCCAGCACTTTAGGAGGCTGATGTGAGAGGATTGCCTGAGCACACGGGTTTGAGACCAGCCTGGGTAACTTGGTGAGACCTCATCCCTACAATAAATCAAAAAATTAGCCTGGCATGGTGGCTCGTACCTGTAGTTCCAACTACTTGGAAGACTGAAGCGGAAGAATCACCACAAATCGAGGCTGCAGTGGCTGTGAGTGTGCCACTGCACTCTGGCCTGGGCGACTGTGTGAGACTCCAACTCAAAAAATAAAAAGACTTGCTTTATGGTCTAGTATACATTCATTTTAAAAGTAAATATTCCAGATTAACGTTGGTGGCTGATGCTTGTAATCTTAGCACATTGGGAGGCTGAGGCAAGAGGATTACTTGAACTCAGGCTGAGGCGGAAGGATCACCTGCACCCAGCAGGTCGAGGCTGTGGTGGCCATGAGTATGCCACTGCACTGGAGTCAACCTGGGCCACAGAGACTCTAACTCAAAAAAAAAAAAAAGTTTCATGTGTGCTAGAATAAAAAGTGTCTTCTTTGGTATACTATGTAGTTCCTTAGCTGAGGCTTGTAACATGAGTTGTTCAAACTTTGTGTGTACTTACTCATTTTTTTCTATATAATGTGTCAGTTACTCAATGAGGTCAATTACAATATTCCTTTATGAAGGAATCTATTACTCCTCATATGTGTCAGTCTTATGTATTCGTAAATAGTGATGTTGGCTGTGTATACATTTAGTATTATTTAATATTTGTAAATCTTCTTGGTGGATTGAATTTTTTGTTATTTAAATTCTACTAATTTCTTTTGCTTAGTCTATTTTGCTTGATATTCATGTACCTACACCAATCTGTTTGCCTGTTATACAGTTGAACCTTCTGTAATGGATGCTTCTGGTGTCTTGTCTAGATTCCCTTTACCACTGACCTCCCAGCTGCTTTGAATGTTAGCTTCTTTAGCTGCCAGTGGTCTCAGCAGACAGGAGGTACCTTCATCAGCAGTGCCTGGGTGGTCATATTCCTCCCTTTCACTTATCCCTCAGCCAATGACTGCCTGATAAGGGTTACAAAAACCTAGTCCCACAAGTGGTGGGACTGACTCTGTGGTGCAGCTGTTCTTCAGAGCATCTAATAGAACAGGTGGAGACTAGATTTCAGCTGAAACCATGGTTTTGCTTTTCTTTACTTCCTTATAGGTTTCCCCTGAAGAACTCCCTCAGTAAATCACTTGCATAAAAATCTCTCTCATGTTCTGCATCTCGTAAACTAGTTCTAAAACACCTACCTTCTTGACAAGGGAGAACTTAGTCTGTTTCTAGGATTAAGTTGTATAAATCTTCTTTTATAATTTACTTTGTGAACTTTATCTTGAATGGATTAGGTAGATTGTTTATCAATTCAGTGACCCTCAATTGTGGGTACCCCTCAGAATCAACTTTAAAAACAGATTTCTGTGTCATGATTACCTTTAATGAAAAAAATCCAACAAACAAACAAAAAAACCACTGAGATTTCAGGTGCAGTGGCAAGTGCCTGTAACCCCAGGTACTTGGGAGGCTGAGGTGGGAGGATCACTTGAGGCCAGAAGTTGAATCAAGGCTGTAGTCCACAATGAGTTCTCCTGTGACTAGGTACTGCACTTAAACCTGGACAACATGGCAGGATCCCATCTGTGAAAATAAAAAAACAAAACAACAAAAAACTGAGATTGCTTAACCCTGTCCCTGAAAAATTCTGATCCAGATAATTTTCACTTTAAGTTTAGATGTTTACCTCTATTTCAGGTAAAATGTTAAAAGTTAATAATAGCTTGAAAGACACCTTCAACTTTTTTGATTACTTGTTCAGTTTTTTCTTAATGTTATTTTTACTTTAAGACTTTCTTCCAATTGAAAGCATCTGTAAGGTATTGTTATGTTAAACATAATGCCTTTGTCACCACTACAAAATGCCTGCCACATACTCTTAGAGTTTATATCTTGTCCTTTCTTCTGTGAAGAACTGAGCTGCTTTGCCTGGCTGCTGGTTGTATGCCTAGGACCAACAGTGGAAGAGTCTTGAGGGTGTCATCTGTGCAAATGCCAGGACCAGCAACAGAAGGCTTGTGTCTTGATATAGAACAGAATACACCTAGCAGGATGAGTGTGCATTTAGTGAGATCCTATGAGGTTTCGAGTTTTTTACGTTAGATGCCCAGGATAAAAGCTGAGAAAGATGCTGTCATTACCATCTAGGAACTCAAGTCCTAAGGGGGCTTTGGGAGGGACACATGCTGTAACTGAATGATTACAAAATTATCAGCACAAATCTCTTTGTACTCTTATTCTACCTTCCACTTCTTCATTTTCACTGATATCTTAAGTATACAGTAAAATAGAGTGAAACTTCAGTTTGCTTGATGGAGGAGAGGGTTTTCTTAAAATAGTTCTCAAAAGCTATAAGCTGATCAAGTATGAATACTCTTCCCTTCATCTAATCCCCCTACACTAAGTAATCTTAAAGTATAATATATTATTACTCCTGACAGAGATATGTGAGCCAATACTATAGAGATTTAACATTTTAATAATTATGAAGTGTTAATATTTATATTATTATATTAATATGATGGTGGTAGCTGGTCTCTTGAATAAATATTTGTTTCTGCCATATTGCATCATGTTGTTTGTGCGTTTCTAAAAGCAGAGAGAGCTATTTTTATTGTTCTGCCTAATAATGATAAGATGACCAGCCTGGAGAGCTGGGTTTATGTCATTACTCCCTATTGGCTTTCTTTCCATGATTGTTCTGGCACAAACTGTGTTTGGAAAGTGGAAGAAATGAGTTAAATATTCTTAATTGGTGATGACCCTGCAATCTTGAGTTTTGTAGTTGTGAAATGTCTGATTCAGGCCGGGTTCGGTGGCTCAGCCTGTAATCCCGCACTTTGGGATGCTGAGGTGAGTGGATTGCCTGAGCCCGTGGGTTTGAGATCTGCCTGGGCAACTTGGCGAGACCTCATCTCTACAATAAATCAAAAATTAGCCGGGCGTGGTAGCACGCGCCTGTAGTTCCAGCTACTTGGAAGGCTGAGGCGGAAGGATCACCGGAGCCCAGCAGGTCGAGGCTGCGGTAGCTGGGAGCGGCCACTGCACTCCAGTCTGGGTGACAGAGTGAGACTCCAACTCAAAAAAAAAAAAGAGAGAGAGAAATGTCTGATTCGTTTAAAATGAAATTTAGATTTTATTAATTCCCATTATACCATTTTAGAACTGCATGTTTGGCTAGCAAGTAATCTTTTTTTTTTTTTTGAGTTGGAGTCTTACTCTGTCGTTCAGAATGGAGTGCAGTGGCCACTCCTGGCCACTGCAGCCTCGACTCACTGGGCGCCAACGATCCTTCCGCCTCAGCCTTCCGAGTATTCAGAACTACAGACACGCGCTACTATGCCTGGCTGATTTTTTTATTGTAGAGATGAGGTCTCGCCAAGTTGCCCAGGCGGGTCACGAACCCGCGGGCTTAGGCAATCCACTCACCTCAGGCTCCCAAAGCGTGGGATTACAGGCTGAGCCACCAAGTCCAGCTGCAAGTAATCTTAAATTTAAAAAACTGCATACATGTGCACACACATATTCACATGCATGTATTAGATTTTGTTTTGTTGGTTTTTGTTCCTTTGGCCTGTTTTCTGTGTGAGGCTGTCTACTAAGAGCAGAGAAGGTATGCACATTGCTTAGACATGGTCATTCTCCTTTGGACCTAGAAATTTACAGGAACTGGTATATATAGCTAACTACAGTACAGACCAGGCTGTACTGTTATAAATACAGATGATGTATTAGTTCTGAATAGCACTAGGAAAACAGATTCTAAAAAGGAGTCACAGAAGAGGTGACGGACAATTGACATGGACCTTGATTTCACAACTTAAACAAATGAGGAGGGAAAAAAGAGAATGTAAAGTGTGGAGGGCAAATGGGTATAGGGTATACAGTGGAAATGTGAATGACATGCTGTAAAATGGCAGATGGTCCCAGTGACTAAAATATAGGGAGACCCTTCCTGGAAAGTTGTTGCTGATTGTGGTAGGTGATAGGACTGGGTCTTCTAGGGACATATAGCCTTGATATCACACTCAAGAGTTTGGGTTAAACAAACAAAGAACAAACTAGGCTTTGGAGTTCTTTTAAATCAGCTGGGATGTTTTCCTGATGTTGAAGGCTCTTCCCACTGCCTCCATCTTTTAAGAAGAAAAGAAGCTGGACTCGGTGGCTCAGCCTGTACTCCCGCGCCTTTGGGAGGCTGAGGTGAGTGGATTGCCTGAGCCCGCGGGTTCAAGACCCGCCTGGGCAACTTGGCGAGACCTCATCTCTATAATAAATAAAAAAATCAGCCGGATGTGGCAGCGCGTGCCTGTAATTCCGGCTACTCAGAAGGCTGAGGCGGAAGGATCACTGGATCCCCAGCAGGTCGAGGCTGCGGTGACCGGGAGTAGCCGCTGCACTCCAGTCTGGGCGACAGAGTGAGACTCCAACTAAAAAAAAAAAAAAAAAATGCTTTCTCTTTTTTATAATGTTAGGAGGCTAGATATTATGCAGAATCTTTTGAAATTCACTTTTTTCTTTTTAAGTGAGATAAAATTGAAGATTCATTCTTACATATGATTATGTCAGAAATGTAAGTGCTGTGTTATTATCATCTCTTGTTTTGGCCTACATAACCAGACTTCAGCAGATAGCATGCTTTCTGTATCACATGGCTAACAGTGGGAGGTATCTAATGTAGATTATTCTTCCTGGAGAAATAGATTGAAATTCAATTGGTTAGAAATGTGGCAAGCAGATACCTGTTTACAGATCCAAATTGCATTCAATCAGGACTGAACACAAGCTGCCTGGATAGATCCTGTAAGTAAGCAAGCAAGGCTTTTTACTCTTGTAATGCAGGGTTCTATGTATGTGAATATGTGTGTGCACATGTATGCAGTATTTTTATATTGAGCGGACAGTACTCCTTAAAATAGCAGTGGGAAAAGAATGTTTGGTGACTACATGGAAGTAAAATGTAACTTCTTTTTTTTTTTTTGTAACTTCTTTTAACCTATGTCAGTGTGTGCTTTCATGTAGGAATGTAGCTGTGGTGGCTTCAGCTATTTCAGTAATCAAGGGCTCTTGCCTATTGCTAATCCTGTGATGAACAGGACAAATAGTGGTTATGAATAGAACCCTGCCAAGACTGGAAATTTCATCAGTTTGTAATAGTACAACTGTTGTCTTTAAGCATGTAGGGAAGACACCTAGAAGTAGAAAGCTAATAATATATTCTACAGGGGAGTTGGAGTTTATTGGTTAGAACAGTCAAGATATTCCTGGGTTGTCATTTGCAAGTCTTGTTCTGAGGAGGAGTGGGAGAAATTCAGATTTGTCTCAGGGATCATATATGTCTGTGAACTGTGTAAGTTGGTACCTGATTCCTCTAGAGATCCTTACTAAATATTTGATATTCAAATAAAATACCATTTTGATTGAAAGTGTAAATCAAGGTTGTCTGGTTAAATAAGTCAAAACCAGAACATAGCCACCAGATAAATAAGGATCAGCTTGATATATAATAGGCCTCTGAAATAAGTTCATTAAAAACAAATCTAGGGAATAAAGTTAGCCATTTAGTAACTAAAAACTTGCTAGGCAAACTCAAAAAAAATCAGATGTTGAATTATTATTCTTAATTTTTTTTTTTTTGAGTTGAAGTCTCACTCGGTCACCCAGACTGGAGTGCAGTGGCCGCTCCCGATCACCACAGCCTCGCCTGCTGGGCTCCGGCAATCCTTCCGCCTCAGCCTTCTGAGTAGCCGGAATTATAGGCATGCGCTACCATGCCCGGCTGATTTTTTGATTTATTGTAGAGATGAGTTCTCGCTGCCCAGCGGGTCTCGAACCCACGGGCACAGGCAATCCACTCACCTCAGCCTCCCAAAGGCGCAAGATTACAGGCTGAGCCACCAAGCCTGGCTTATTCTTAATTTTTTAAAAAAAATTTTATTTAGAGATGGTGTCTCGCTGTGTTGCCTAGGCTGGTCTCAAATTCTGGGACTCAAGTGATCCTCCTGTCCCAGCCTTCCAAAACACTGGGATTATAGGTGTGAGCCAATGCACTCGGTCCTAAATAGGAAATCATGTTGCAGTCTATACCTCTCACTATATCAAGATTATAAATGATCTCTGGCGCTGACCGAGAAGCTGGGTTCCTTTTAAGCCTGAGGAACAAGCACTGTATTTTGGCCACGGCATTCTCACTAATGTCCTTAGGATAGCAGCTTAACGTTGGCTTTAGAATTCTGTCATTTACATCAGGCATGCAAAAAAGAAAAAAAGGAAGGAAAACAATAACCCAGATTTCTTTTTCAGTTCTGTGCCTTGTCTGTATACCCCTAAAAGGCCTATCAACCATAGAGAAAATTCATGTGAGCAAAATAATTACTTTATTATTATTATCATTAAAAGTAATTATTATGAAAAGTCTATGTATTAAGTTGGTTGATTGGAGCTCAGTGCATTTGCCTAAGAGAAGCAATGCTACAAGTAATCATTTTGTTTCTAAATCAGTCCAGGTCACTGAGAAAAAAGTTTCTTTCTTCTAAAACTGACCCAATTTTGAAAGATGTCAAGTTTGTAGTTGGCAGTGTATTTACTATCTTTCTTTTGCCTCATAGGGCCCCTGGGCCTACATACCCTCTCCCTACTTTGATACCATATTCATATCTGCTTTGTTTCTTGATACTTCCGTGTTGGTAAATTATTTTTCTCCCTTTTCACATCAATACCAAAAACTCAGATACTTTTCAATGGAACCATCTCTGGCATTAGGAGGTGTGAACAATGGTCTTTCTTGGGGCATATGTCCTCTCACACACTTGTAAATTAAGAAATAGGATTCTGGGACAGATGCAGTGACTGAAGCCTGTAATCCCAGCACTTTGGGAGACCGAGGTGAGAGGATTGCCTGAGACCATGGTTTAGAGACCTGTCTGGGCAACATGGTGAGACCTTGTCTCTACAATTAAAAAAAAAAAAAAAAAAACACTAGCCGGGCATGGTAGTACACACCTGTAGTTCTGGCTTCTTGGACGGCTGGAGTGGAAGGATCACTGGAGCCCAGTAGGTCGACGCTGCGTTGGCCATGAGCGTACCACTGCACTCCAGCCTAGGCAACTGAGTGAGACTCCAACTCAAAAAAAAAAAAAAAGGATTCTGGGTACCACAAATGACAGAGTAAGTGAAAATACTACAATGGTTAGGAAAAGTGTCTGAGTGTGATGGTGGGAATTAGACTTCTGTTCTTGCTTTGTGAGTTTTCTTTCTTCACTTTAACTCCATAGCAGCACTTTTCCAGGGGTAAATAGAAGAGGACAGAGGCAGCCACAGGCCGTCTGTAAACTAGATTTGCCAGTTTCTCATCAGACAGAATGAGCATAGACCCCAAGGGAGTGGCTATAGATGAGACTGACCTAAAATTTTCAGGAAGACTTACTGGAACTTAAAAATAAGTTGCCTAACCCAGGTGCAATGGCTCACGCTTGTAATCCAGTCCCAGCACTTTCGGAGGCTAAGGTAGGAGGATTGCTTGAGACCAGCCTCGGCAATATAGCGAGACCTTGTCTTTACAAAAAGCCGAAAAAAATTAGTTTGGTGTGGTGGTGCACATCCATAGTCCCAGCTACTTGGGAGACTGAGGCAGAAGGATTGCCTGAACCCAGGATTTCGAGGCTGCATTGAGCTGTGATCATGCCACTACATTCCAGCCTAGGTGACAGAGTGAGACTCCTACTCAAAAAGAAAAAAAAAAGTTGCCCCAAACATCTGTGTGTTTAAGTTAGGTATGAACATGATTTACTCTGTATAGATCTGTTAAATACTTTTAGTTCAGTAATTTCAGAGTTTGTGAACTATCTAAAGTAAACCATACAACAGAGAAAATGCTCGTAATCTCATGTATTTTTATTTTCTGCTTATGAATACATATCAATTAATAGTGAGATGGTAGTCAAGAGACCAAGATTCTGTTCTATATTTCGTCAACATCATCATGCCATGTAGTTCCCTCTTGTCTTAGTTTACCCTGTTTTCAAAACCCCTTTCACCAGTTAGTTGTACTGCAAGCATGTGGTCAGAAGAAAAGGTCAGATGTCCAAAGTATCATACTTGAAAACTGTGTTCACCAGGCGCGGTGGCTCACCCCTGTAATCGGAGCACTTTGGGAGGTGGAAGCAAGAGGATTGCTTGGGCTCATGGGTTCAAGACCAGCCTAGGCAACATGGTGACCAGCCTAGGCAACATGGTGAGACCTCCTGTCTACAATTAAAAAGAAAATTAGGCTGGGCTCAGTGGCTCAGCCTGTAATCCCAGCGCTTTGGGAGGCCGAGGCAAGTGGATTGTCTAAGCCCGCGGGTTCGAGACCAGCCCAGGCAACTTGGTGAGACCTCGTCTCTACAATTAAAAAAAAAAAAGCCAGGTGTGGTTGCGTGTGCCTGTAGTTCCAGCTACTCAGAAGGCTGAGGCGGAAGGATCGTCAGAGCTCAGCAGGCTGACGCTGGGGTGGCTGTGAGCGTGACACTGCATTCCAGCCTGGGCGAAGGAGTGAGACTCCAACTCAAAAAAAAAAAAAATAGCTGGGTGTGATGGCGCATATCTTTTTTTTTTT